CATGGAGCCCTCTGTTCGCAATTCCAGGTGCTCTGGGGAACCGGAGGGCTCAGGGGCAGTGCTTTGGGAACCTGGCCTATGCCTGCAGCCAGCTCGGGAACCACGGGGCTGCCGCGGAGAGCTACCTGCACGCCCTGCAAGCCTTCCGGGACTCGGGTGAGGGGAGGCACAGGCAGCCCCTTGGGGCGAGTCTGCAGCATCCGGGAGCCGAGTGCTCTGAAGCTGGGTGATGCTGCCTGCCGGGGATCTTGGCTGAGCGGTGCTGGGACCGATGCAGCCCTTTGCCTCCCAGGGGACTTGCAGGGGCAGTGGCAAGCGTGCGAGGGGCTGGGCACAGCATGCCTCCACTTGGGAGATCCCCAGAAAGCCATCGGGCACTATCAAGAGGCCCTGATTTTGCTTTCCCACTGTCGGGTAAGGCATGATGGGGCACCACCAGGGCCAGACCCTCCCGTGTATCATGGGGCACAGGTCTCAGCCCTGGGGCACACCCACTTAGCCCATCACACATATGAGTTCTCTTCACCACAGGACAGCCCCAGAGCTGACCACAAACGGGTCGTGCACAAGCTCACGGATGCCATCCAGCACCGACTCCGCTTCAGCCACCTCTCATACCAGGGGGGCTGGGCACCCACCCCGGCGCTGGTGAGCATCACCCAGGGCATGGGACACTCTGGAGGGCTGGGATCTGGGACCCCAGTAGTGGCAAGAGGTGCCTGAGTTTCTGGGCAGGGAGACACACGTGTTAATCCTATCAGGAGCCCAGCCAGCTGAGGTCTTGTTCCACACTGCCCCATGCCAGTAGGACACAACTCCAGGGCAGGAAGGTGTGAGTAGGAAAGCTGCCATCCTCTCTCCTTCATCTGGAATGAGTTTCCAGATCATGCAGGAGACAAGCCTTCCTTCCTTCACTCCGTGTCCTTCAGGGGGAAAGCCCAGGCTGAGGACAAGCTGTATATGTACACGCCAGGAGCACATCCCAGGTATTCTGGTAAGAGGGTGAGAACTAAACATGGGATTGAGCCATCCAGGCAATTCCTGATGGAGCTGAGGCTTTGGCATGGTGTAATATCTGTTCTTGCCTGTTTGTCCTTCCTTCCTGGAGGCACAAGAGTGGCTCTGACTGGTGATCTTGCACTGGAGCCCTGTAACCCACATGGCCTCCTGGGCACCTCTGGGGAGGATGACGATGGTCCCAGCTCAGCTCCAGGGTATCACAGGGAGCCCCAGGCTAACAGGTGGGCGGACAAGGGGGAGGCACCTCAGTACAGCCCCTGGCACCCAAATACCTCTGCAGCATAAGGGACTTTTCCTGTTTAATGGCGAAAATCCAGAGATTTTTAAAGATACATAATTCTGGGAGTGTGTTTGGGGTAATACCAGTTGGATCCTAGGGAGGGCTCAGTCACAATGAGAGGGGAGAGTTTGTCAGAGATGCTGTCCAGAACGCCACATGAGGTTCATTTGTCCCTCAGTAAGAGGACCACCAGCCCCCTGAAGGCAGCCAAGCTGCCCCACGCTGGCCTCCAGCTACAGAAGTACCACATCCAACCAGAAATGCGGCTCTCTAGTGAGCCGAGGCCTCAGGGCGTCACAACACATTCTACAGGGCATCAAAACTGCCAAGTCCTCCATCCAAGGCCTCCAAAGAGGTATGTGATGCCTTGGGGGAGTGGGCAAGGGAGTGGACCAGAGGTTTGGGCTCCAGAGTATCCTCTGAGGAGTGGGTTCCTCAGAGGTGAGGTGGAGACCTCAGCAGGGCTTGGGACACCTGTTTCTTGGAATGGACACAACCCCAAGCCAAAAGTCACAAAGGCTGGGCTTTTGGCACCTTGTAGCCAACACCAAAACCATTCCCTATGGATGGGGCAGCAGATCTAAGGGTAGTTTTCAGGACCCTGGTATGAACTTCCTGCCCACTCCTGCGTTCCAGTGCTTAAAGGGGCTCCAACAGAGCTAGAGAGGGACTTCGGACAAGGGCCTGGAGTGACAGGACATGGGACAATGGCTTCTCACTGCCATGGGGCAGGGTTAGATGGGACACTGGGAAGGAATTCTTGTGTGTGAGGGTGGGGAGGCCCTGGCACAGGCTGCCCAGAGAAGCTGTGGCTGCCCTATGCCTGCAAGTGTCCAAGGCCAGGTTGGGCAGAGACCAGGGGTAGTGGAAGGTGTCCCTGCCCATGGCAGGAGGGTGGGACGAGATGGGCTTTAAGATCCCTTCCCACCCAAAACAGTCTGTGACTCCGTAATTTGATTATTCCATTTTGCATCCTGCTGGACACCCTCACTCCCCATAATGCCTCCATTACCTTGCAGCCTGAATGATGACCCCACTGTCACTGCTACCGGCTGCTGGTCCCGCCGGAGACCTCGCACGGGGACCAGGACTCTGTCCCTCGTCTGCAGCCTCGTGTGACAGGAGGCCACGGGGGACACGCCGTTTCTCGTGGGGCTGTGCAGGCCCAAAGCAGAGCGGGAGGGGGGCGTTGAGCCAACACGCTTTTGACGCCGCTCCGTTTCCCCATCTTTTGTATGTCGGCGTCCCAGGGAGGAAATGAAGAGATTGGACCTTGGAGGGACCGCGGCCTCTGTGCGGCTCCGCCCGGCCCTGCCCCGCGGTGAAGGGCGCTCCGCCCCGGGGCGGCCCCGCGCCTGCTCCTTGCGGCTCCGGGGGC